CGCGACGGCGCCCGACCCCGGAGACCCCGCCGCCCCGGGCCCCCCTCTGCCCAGCGCCGCCGCCGCCTCGGGGCCCCGGCCCCGGCCCCGGCGAAGACGGCAATCCGCTGACCTCCGGGCGCTCCCGGGCCGAGGTCCGACGCGGCAGCCTCCGGAGATCACGCCGACACCATCACGCCCCGGGCCTCCCAGCTCCCTACGACCCGGAAACAAAACCGCCGCCGAGACCAATCGGCCGAGGCCGCGGTGGAAGTGGGCGTGGCGACAACAGGGGGCGGGCCCGAAACGGCCCAGGGGGCGGGCGTTTGAAATCGGCGCCTCACCGTCGGCAGACCCCACACCTCCTTTTCTACCTCCGAGAGCCAATTACTTCATGTCTCTTCCGTCTCTTCCATCCCCGACCCCGCTCCCAGGCGCCTTCATCCCGGCTCTGCGTGGACGGCCAGCGCCGGGCAGCCGACAGCGGGCACTCTCCCGGCTAGCGGGGGGCCGCGCGGGGCACGCTCACCCCCAACGGTCTCCTTCCAACGGCCGCTTCCTTTCGCCTCAGGCAAGCTAGTGTTGGCATTTAATTGGATATGAAGAAAGAACAAGTATGTACGAGGGCAACCAAGATCTTGAAGGTAGCATGCCTACAAAGCGAAGGCTGTCTTCGTATGGCCTGTTACAGTGTTTAACTGGGCAGCAAGTGGTCAGTTGCAGTGGGAGGAAAGACGGTGGGAATGGTAGCGACGGATTCGGGGATTCACTTGTCGTGGGCGTTTAGAACGGCGGGCCCAACGGCCACTAGCTCGAGATGCAATCAGGAATAAAATGGCTCCTCCAGCGTTAGGTGGAGTTTTAATGACAACTATCAAAAGCCAGGGATAAAAATCACCCATCTCCCTCTCTTCCTACCCTCTCCCCCCAAGAAAAAGCACACTGAAGGCAGGGACCTTGTTTGTTTTGATCGCCTCGGTAACTCTTCACAGGAGAGTGGTCCCTAGAAGAGAGATGCTCAATAAATACTTGTGGAACAAATGAAAATCGAGCCTCCCCAATTCAATTTCTAATATGAAGACCTCACAAAATTAATCAAGGGCTATTTTCTGTCAAATTCTTGCTTTAAAATCAAGGCGGTGGGTGGGGGGCAGGGTGTAACTTGGAGTATAATCAATCCCTTCCCCTATGAAGTTCAGGGGGGAACAATATTGATTTTTCTTACTGGTGGTACTCTCCCCGACTTTGACCCCTCTCAGTAGCGGCATGACTGTCGTACTAATGGAGTAGCCCCGATGACGTAGTGGTTGAAGTGCCCGGCTCATGGAAAGGCTGTTGGAACCAACTGCAGAAGAAAGACTGCAGTCTGCTCCCTTACACATGAACACCCTTGGGAACCCTGTGGGGCAGTTCCACTCTGTCCGCTAGGGTAGGCCTTAGCTGAACGGATTGCTTGGCAGTTTTTTTTACCATATTTTGCTACTCACGTCATAATCCCACAGTTTATACGTAAATTACCTTTTCCTTCATTCTTCACACCCAGTTAATTTATCTGCAAGCCTGGTCAAATCTCCTTTTCAAAATACCCCCTGAATTGGTCCATCACTTTTCAGTCCACGGTCACCAACCAACCCAAACCACCACCCTAATCAAAGCTACCTGGATGGTAATTGTCCAGTAGCGCCTGCTACTTCCGCTTTTGTCCTGCAGTCAGTTCTACATCTAGCAGCAAGGGATCATATCAGACTATGAACCAGACAGTGGTACTTTCCTGCATGGACTCCACTGCACTTAAAATAAACATCTAACTTCCTAATATGATTACGCATTGGGCTGTTAACCACAGAGTCAGCAGTTTGAAACTACCCAGCAGCTCTATGGCAAAAACATTTGGCTTTTTACTCCCATAAAGATTTACAGCCTTGAAAACTCACAGGGGCAGTTCTACTCTGCCGTATAGGGTCACTGTGAGTCAGAAATCAATTCTCCTGGTGGAGGGAATTTGACATTTGAGAAGGCCCCATAGGACCTAGCTCCTCACTTCTTTCTTGCCTTCCCTCTGAGGCTGTTACTCTTGTGCACTAAACTCTGGCCACAGCCAAGTGAGCATTTCTGTTTCACAATTTCTTCCTGTGGCTGAATCTTAGCACTCACCTTTCTCTGATGCTAGTGCCCAAGACAACTGCATCCCCACCCTCATGCCTTAGCTCTAATGACACGTTAGTGAAGGTTTCCTTAAAATCCACCTGTTGCACCCTCATCTCTCCTAACACATCAACCTTTTTAATTTTTTCACAGTGCTGATCACTACCAGAGCTCATTTTGTCCATTGTTTATTGTCTTGTGTTTCTGAGAGGATTCAACAAAAGATCCATATAAGAGAAGGGGATCTCCAGCCTGACTGGTTCTAAATTTTGGCTCCGCCAGTTTTAGCTCACAGCATTGGGCACATTTTTCCCAAACCCTTTCTGCACCTTCAGTGTCCTTATGCATAAGATAGGAATAATTCTAGTCCCTTATCTGGTAATGTTACTATAAGGATTAAGTATGTTATACTTATAAAGTGCTTAGAACAGTCTCAGCAAACAGTACTTGCTAAATAAATGTCGGCTAACACTGGTTAATATTCTTTTTATTATTGTCTATCTTCCTATATTAGAACATAAGTTCCAGAAAAGCAGGAACCTTGTCTCTCTTGCTCACTGGTGTATCCTCTGCATATAGAACAGTGCCTGGCACATAATAGGTGCTGAGTAAGTATTTGTTGACTGATTGAATGAATGATGTATGATGGGGACACAATGTAGAAAATACCTGGGGTTATTACTTGCCAACTGCCCCTTATCAGCCCTGAGTGACTCACCCTGATCCATTTTAATTTAACCACCCTGATCCCAGCCCACCATCTAATCTTCTGACCATGATCAATTAAGTACCCTTATAATTCAACACCAACATGCAAATAACCACTCTGCACGATTAAAAAGTATTGGTGTAAATGCTTTGAAAGTATTCATAAGAAAAAGAAACTGAAAAGCCCTCACCTCTTAAATAGCTTGAAAGTATTAATACAAAAAAGAAACGATAAAGCTTGACTTAAAAGTATTATGAAAAGTAAACTGTGTATATTTACTAAAAAGTAAGTTACCCTATTAGCTGAACCTGGCTGATAAAAAAATAATACAACTGGTTACCCCAAAATTCTAAATGGTCCCTTAATTCTATCTTCCAAAACCCTTATCCTACCTACCCTTTAAGAAAATTCTCCTACTCCCCAATTCCCCACATTTCCCTCTGTTCTCAAACTTCCTACTTGTCTCCTCTAGTCCTTCTTCCCTCACCCCTTGTTTTCCGAGAGCCACTGATCTTGCTTTACTGGGGAAATAGACTATATCAAACAAGGACTCCTCAATTCCACCCCAGCAGATTTACAAAGTGACCTGCAGCCGTGCCCATGCTCTGAGGTTTCCGTGTGTGACCAGAGATGAGGCAGCCCAAACCCTCTTACATGATGGGTCCCCCTACCTCCAGTCTTCTTAATGACTGGCATCTCTTTATGTTTTCTCTCCTTCAAAATGGGCCAATCCATCCCTTTTTCAGAACATCTTTCAAATGCTGAAGTATATCTCACCCTTTAAAAATGCTCCCATTGTAATGTAATAATGGTATTATTTTAATTCATTCCAAAAAGGATGTTTTATAGAATAAACATATTTGCAAAGCTGGCTTTTAGATCAGGAAATAGCAGGGATTTCAGCCTCAAAGATGACACAGAAACGTGGGTGAAGGGAGACGGTGGTAGGTGTAAGATATGAAAACAATTTATAATTGATCAAGTGGGGGAGGGGGAAGGCAGGGGGGGAAAAAGAGCTGATACCAAGGGCTCAAATAGAAAGTAAATGTTTAGAAAATGATGGCAACATATGTACAAATACGCTTGATCCAATTGATGTATGCAATGTTATAAGACCTATAAGAACCCTCGATAAAATTCCAAAAAAAAAAAAGACCACAAGAATTAAAATAATTTGGAGAAAAGGTAAAAATAAAGATGACACAGGAAAACAAAGTCAAGATGAATTAAAAAACCCAAAAGGAAATCATAAAAACCTAAGAAGAAAACTTAAAGAGACTATACAACCTAGGGTTTGAAGAAGCTTTTGATGAAGGCAGAACCCCTGTAGGTCCCCGATTACTCGCCACAACAGCACAGAGCGGCTCCAACGGGGGCTCAGGCGTGGGAACACACGTGAAGATGGAAAGGTCCAGGCAGTGCTTGGCTCTGTCTGGAAAACGGAAGCAAAACTACTTATGAGGGAAAACTGAC